CAGCCTTTTGATTTCCAATGTCAGACTTGCATTTTCCCAAAACAACTTCCTTGTAGGTGTCTTCTTGGATGTTTGCGCAGCTTACGATAATGTTATACTTCCGCTGCTCAGGCATAAGATGCATCAGCTGAGCATCCCTGTGAGGATAACGAACTTTGTGTCAAACCTTTATTCAGGAAGACGTGTTCTAGTGCGCGTAGAGGGTAATATCATGCCAGAGAGATACATCTGGAAAGGTCTTCCACAAGGCTCTGTTCTAAGTCCCCTTCTGTATAACCTATATACCCACGATCTAGATAGATCTGTAAACTGTCTGTCCAACATACTCCAATATGCTGACGATTTGGCTCTTTTTGTTATTGATCATTCTTTACCTGACGCCTCTTCTCGATTATCTCGTGCGGTATATTACCTCCAAGAATGGCTTACAGAACATGGTTTATCCATCTCCCCCCCAAAAAGCAAAATCGTGGTATTTTCGAGGCGAAGACTCATCCCAGAAGTGTCAATCTCTATTGGAGACTCATTGATTCCCAATGTGAGCCATGTGAAATTCCTTGGTGTTATGCTAGATAGCAAATTGTCTGGAATTCCCCACATATCCTACATAGCTTCAAAATGCGAAAAAAATCTTAACGTCATTCGCGCTATATCAGGAGCTTGGTGGGGCTCTCATCCTTACTCCCAAAAGCTTTTATATAATGCTTTGATTAGAAGCCATTTTGACTATGCTTCCTTTTTGTGGGAACCATGCAATAAAAGTGCGCTTAAAACTTTGGATCAAATTCAAGTAAAATACCTTCGCATTATAACAGGAGGAATGAAATCTACCCCCACTAACGCTCTCCAGGTCGAGTGTGGTGAGGGTCCTCTCTTTCTTCGCAGGCAGTACCTAGCAGACAAATTCTGGTTCAAAAAGTGCTTTCTTCATAACCATCCACTGTTCCATATACTAAACTCACTTCATCAACAAATTTTAATTTCACCATACTGGCGACACAAAGATATACCATGTCTTTTAAAAAGCTATATAAAGTTTGTAAACATTCAATCTCCAATCTTCAAAAATAGCAACAACTTACTCTTCTCCACTCCCTACGAAGCACTAGTTTTCAATCCAAACGTCATCCTTGACTTTGGACTTGACAAGAAAACCATTGATCATAACAGCAAATTAAAGAAAATCGTCTCAGAAAATTGGCAAGACTGGATCATAATGTACACAGATGCTAAAAACTTCTAACAAAGATTGTGTAGGTTCTGCAGTTTAAATCCCTAAATATAGAATAGTATTAAATTTTAAGTGCCCACCTGAATCATCAGTTTTCACAGGTGAATCTATTGCCATCTTAGAGGCAATTCTATATGCCGAATCTCACAACCTGGAAAATACCTTAATTCTCTCGGACTCCCTTAGCTGTCTCCAAACCATTATCTCCAGCTCCTTCCACTCCAAATCAAATCTTTTCCCTATCCTCTTTATTAAAAAAGCATTATATAATTGTCACAAAAAAGGCCCAAAAGTTGTCTTGGCTTGGATTCCAGGCCATTCTGGGATACGTGGTAATGAGTGTGCTGATTTCTTGGCTAAGATAGCAACACGAACAGGTATCCTCTCTCAGTATCAAATTTTCCCCCACGACTTGCTTCCACTAGCAGGATCTGACTTCATGGCATCTTGGCAAGGTCTTTGGGACCAAACTAAAATCATAAAATGTAAACACTACCCTCGGGTTCAAGACACAATCCCATACAAACCTTGGTTTTTCCATTATCGATAAGCTAATAAATTTACTACATCAACCATTTGCCGTCTTCGCTTTGGTCATTCTTGCACACCGGTACACCTAGCCAAATTAAGAATAAGGGATAATTCTTTATGTGAATATGGTCTTGATGAAGGTTCAACCGAACACATATTTTTCGAATGTCCTCGACACAAGTTCTCCTTGTATGATATCCTTCCCCAAAACATCCCTCGTCCTACTAACTCTATCTGTCTGCTGTCTCTCGTATTCTCCTCATTTGTTCCTATTTTATGTGATTTTATTTATACTAATAGTATTAAGTTGTAACATAAAACTAATCATTGTTGGTGGTAGAATTATAAATGTTTGTGTTGTCTTTTGTTGTAGATTAGAAGCCAATCACAAAAAAAAAATTTATATAAAATAAAAAAATTATTTACCTTGTTGTCACTCCCATGAATGACTTGACATTGGCAGAATTCTTATAAGAGAAGCCAAAAAGTAAAGAAGAAGAAGAAGAAGAACATTGAAGTACTTTAGTAGCTTAGCTAGTATCGGGTCCTCGATCATTGGTCTATAATTTTCTATAAGTGAAAAAGGGATAGCAATCATTGTCGACGTTAATATTACCCGCCAAATACTCAGCCATGGATCGGCCAGTATCTGGTCGCTTAGCAGACGTGCATGATAATTCATCGACCTGATATTGGCCGATCATCAGACAACAGGCTACTTAGGATCTTGTAATTAATAAAATTAAATCCAAACCCAAGCATACCACTACAAGACTTCAAGATACAGCAAGCTCATTCTGGGTAGATTAGACCAAATTAATAATTGAAAGCCGAAGATTCTCTGGGTTACCTATGAAATCAGAATGTCTAACACCTCAGTTCCCACATGACCATAAGTGCTGCAAAACACTCAAAATGTCGGGAGATAAAAATTTGTTAAATTAAATGTAATAAAATCCATAAAAGCTTTTATTTCATGTGTAGGTAATAGAAAAATTTGATCACAATGTAGTGGATTACACAAAATGTTTTCGGAATACCCCGGAAAGACTAATAAGTGAAAATTCAGACACCAGAAAAAATATATTTCTAAAGAAATAACTAACGCAGACCTAATTTCCACAAGAAAAGTTTTGAAACATTTAAAATCAAATCTAGCAGAAAAAAAAAAACATGGTTGGCGATGTTCTGGTAACTATGGATTCATCTACCGATGCATTAGAATTGTTTATCGATAACAACATTTCAACATTGTCTTTGTCAGGAAGTTATTTGGATATCCTTAGTATCATTAGACGATTTTCTTGTAATCCCAACTCAAATAAGCCTACCAACAACAACAATACTGACAATGCCGGATATGGTAATAGATTCCAGTGATGCAATAATAACGACTCAAAGTAGTACAATGGCCACGATGATATCACCACTAACACTGATGATAACAAACAACATCTTTGCAACTTTAGAGAATGTGCTGGTTGATATTAAAATAAAACAGACTAGTACACCTCTACAAACTCGTGAAACATTGGCTTTAGTACTATTAAATAAAGAATACAAAGATGTGATAGAAAAAACATTTATTAAAACTGGAACTCGTAAAAAATCAATCATTAACAGTACACACACCTTCTTCTGTGCCAATTTGATATGAAGAGTGGCAAAAGATAAAGAGAAAATTAAAATAGAGAAGTTAGAAACTAAGTTAAAAAAAGATAAGAAGTTTTGAAAAGAAAATATATATTAAAAAAAAACATACAGTCGAATTGCATACTGGCTCCTTTTTGAAGTCGGTAGAAAAGAAAAGTTAAAAAGTGGTAAAGTTAAAAAATGAAAAATTGCAAAATCCAAGAATTCCATTAAGGAAAATGAAAGAGTAATAGTAATTTGCACTTGGTGTTATGACATTTTAATAAGCAATACAGAAGAAGATATGGAAAAAAATTGGATGTGAATTTTACACTAAATGGATTTGAGATGTAGATTTTGTTGGACTAAAATATGAGGAAGTACAAAAAAATGAGATTTGATTGCCATATTTAACAACATGAAATTTTATTATAATTTTACAAAATTATACTAAGTTAAGGTTAAGGTACCTTTTCTATCGTGTCTAATACAGTGGCCGAAAACTAAAATTCTTGTGGGACGAAATTTAAAATTTTGGGCCGAAAACTAGCATTTTAATATTTTTCACATCAAAAATTATTATAAAACAGAGATTTTTTTTATAGGATAGGGTGACAAACTAGCACACAGTCCACCTGATGGTAAGTGGTTGCTGTGGCCCATAGACATCTACATCTATCCTCATTTGCGAATCAAAATGCAGATGCTTTGTTACCCGTGAGGACTAAGAGGGAATGCTTCTTTTCCAGTAAAAATGGTCTCCGGTTAGAGAATGTGTTTCATATGGTGAATGTAGAGACACTCACCATATGACACAGCAGTGTTAAGCTGCTATTTTACACTGGTATTCTGTGAGAGCATGGTCCTTCCCTGGTCGAGCCGACCCATTTGTGCTACAACTATACTACTAATATAGCTGCAGCATGGCTCTACCACATATAAGAATATGTATACGTGTAAGATAAAAGAAAATGTAGCATCAATGAATTGCTAAAATGAAAACTACATTATATAAGCTACAAATTAACATTAACAACACTAGGCCAGCATAATGGCAATTATTTTTTCTAGTAGCTTAAAGTTAACAACTCCACTAAAAGGCCGAAAACCAGCATAACAACCCTACATTATTTTTTGGGCCTAGGCTTTATCCCATTTTTGAGAAGTTTTTTGACAAGAAAAGTAAAGAGTAAACTGCCTTGACAAGGCAGATTTCACATTTCTAAGCAAGTGGTAAATCAGCACTTAAAATCGCAAAAAAATTCATTGCTGCACATAGGGAACAACCTTGGGTTACTCATATTTTATGATTTAAGTTCATTGTTCAACTCTTGAAGCAGCTCACCTCATTAATAACTGCGAAATTTCAAGCTTACCCTTTTTCACAGGCTGCTGAACAACTTTGAACTTAAAAAACTGAATAGTCAAATATAATAATTTTGTGTAAACTTATTTGAACTGAATTTTTATCAGATGATTGTTGAAAAATTAATACTTATAACCGAGTAAAAATCTGATTTTACATATGTTATGCATTTTTACTAATCTAAAATTCGAAGTATTAAGCTAAGCTTAATAAAGAAGTGGCATTCATATCATAACATACCCCATTGATTCCAAGAGTTTCCCCAAGAATTTGTAGCGGCGTTCCATTCTGCTCCTGGTGGTACGACACTCTCGCAATTGGTATCAGGGTTTTCAACTTCCATGGGAGCTTCGCCACCTTCTACGTCGGGTTTTGCGGGAGGTTGTGGTGCGGCAACAATTGCCGCAGCTTCTTTCATCGCTATCCATTGTTGAGCTAATGCTGCCCAGTCTACTTGACTAGAATCTATATTTTGATATGCATTAGGGTTCAAGGCCCACTGCGTGGGATATGCGGGGTTTACCGCATTTTTGCCAGAGTACATTGTCACACAATATTTGTACACGCTATGGATATAACGTTTTTAGTTTTACTAAACCTATACACTGATGAGTATAATGTCATTGGCACTAGATTAATAGGAAGTGGTAAGTAATTATAATTGTAACAAAAAATAATTATAATTGGAAAAATTCGTCCTCTGCAGTAAAGCACATTTTTCCATAGACAATGACATTATGAACATAGACAAATAAATATGTAGTTTTTTATAACTGGATTTAGGGCTCTGGGTTCTAGCCGTTCTGATGCCGCCTCCACACGCTTGGTGTTTGCCACAAACACCATTAACGAACAAACACCGACCACATTCACCCAACACCAACACGGCATCCACTCGCTTGGCGAACGTGCTAGTATATTCCAGATAGGCAAACATGACGGATGACGAGGTTGTGGCAGCGATTAATTTCGGGTTGACCTATTTTAATTTAAAAATAAGGCAATATGAATTGCTCTCAACGTTATTGTATTAAAGAATTTATTTACCATAGAATCTCAAATGAATTGTTAATTATCACTGCTATAAATTGTCTTCAGGTTGAAATAATTTTAGTTTGAACGCTTTTATTCGTATTGCATAGCTGATTATTATGTAACACGTTACTCTAAATTAATCTAAAAACAAACTTTTATGAAATTAATGCTTGACCGGGGAATCGAACCCCGAACTTTCGTTTGACATTCTATTGAATCTATTTACTTTTAACATAGATTATCTCTTTATTCGAAGCGCCTTATACACTTTAATAGCAATATTTTCAAAACGCACAATTGTTTATTTTTTATGGAATATAAATGATATACTATTTTAAAGCGCTTCGCCAAAACTAATAGTAGTAATGCATATGCGCCGTTTTCTTCATAAAATGTTTATTTTTAACAGCTTACAATAATATTACAAAGTTATTAATGCAGCTAGTTTTAGGTCTTTTCTATGAAAATATAAAGAATTTTTTACTAATCCAAGTGTATTTTATAAGTTGGTAAACTATTACTCGTTAACTTCTTGATACTACTTAGCTGTGATAGTTTTCCTTTTAACTGCATTATATAAACTACTATTGGGTATACTTTTCTCATTTCGATAAACATCGGTTAAGTTGGTAGAGAGGGGAGGGGGGGACATAGCTCTAATGAAAAATACCACTTTAAAGCTAAATATTTCACAAACTGACCCCTGAATCGAAAAGATGTTGTTGAAAGACCTATCGAACGATACTCTACATGATAGAATAGACACGTAAAAAAATCATCCTCCATTTACTTGTATGGGAAGTACCCAAAATAAAAATGTTTTTAAGATATTATTTCACAGTTTTCTAGGCGTGATTAATATTTATAACTGTGCCAAATTACAGATTTGTAGCACCTAGGGTCTGAGCAAAACCGCGGACGGACATGGCGAAACTATAAGGGTTCCTTGTTGTGTAACTACGAAAGTCTAAAAACTATTAAATCAAGATATACTAAACTTATCGATACATAGGATATACTAATCTTATATAAATTTTCGGATTTTGTTTTGGGAATTAATGATCAATGATCCTGCTTTCACACGGGGCTCCTTATAAAAAGAGGTGAAATATTTGTTACCCAATAGTCTAATAAAATAAATCTAATAGGTCTCTAGAAAACTTAAAAAAATATAGGTGGTAGATCTACTAACTTTTCGAAGTAGAATTGTTAGGAAACTCAACTTCTGAAATCATATTTACCTCCGCGACAAATTTCGGATTGGTAACATTGGCGTAGAGTATAATAATAATAGCCACTAGTAACTCCTTCCGCCGCCCGCAAGCCGCAAGCTCGCGCGTACTACTGACTGATCGCCAAACGTGTGGATACATCGCAAACACGTTTGTCGAACACCCTTTGATCGGTGCATAAAAACCGACACCAACGCTGATCACTGGCAATCACACACAAACAAACAAACAAACAGGCGAACCACCATCCACACGTTCGTGATTGCTGTTTGGTGTTTGCTGTTCGCCGTTGTTTGCCAAGCGTGTGGATGAGGCATGAGCCTTAAGTTACATTGCATAATTATGCTTCATAGTACACTGCTTCACAATATGTTGATGCGTCACATTGTGCAGCCCTTGGGAAATTTTGACGGTAACTTGGGCCAGCAGACAGCTGTCAGTTGGTGATGGTATCTCAAGGCGCATAAGCAGACAGACACCTTATCTTGAGAATCACATCACCATTAGAATACTTGTTTCACCGTTTCCACTAATAGTTCACAGGCGCAGACATTTAATACACAAAATTGCAATACTTTTACATATCATAATCCACTTCCACAATAATACCTAATACAGGAGCAGCAAACCGTCACCGGTCAAGTTCCCGCCAAAACTCATATAAATATGTAGCAAACTAATTATGACACAGAGTAGAGTATCTTTGACTAGAGATGGGTAGCTATTCAAGTAACTAACTAAAATGGCGGCTATTCATAAAATAGCCACGGCTATGATATTCGTCAATACGATAACTAGCTTTTAGCTTTTAGATTGGCTACTTTGGTTAGAGGCGCTTCGATTATCCGACAAGTTTATGGTGCAGCGAGCATCTACCACAGAGGACATATAATCACTACGTTATGCAGTCGCGCGTAGCTGACTAGCTGTATAGCTTATAGGCAACGGGCAACGGTGGGAGCGAGACTATGAAGTTTCGTATTTTGTTAAATAAACTGTCATACAAATATTGTTGTACTTCATGGATGGTTACCGCCCACTTACGACTGTGATGTAGACGAATATGCAGTGTTTCCGATGCACGGACGATAAATTAGTCGTTAGTCAGCTCAGACAAAAAAATTATAAAGCAATTTACGCTTTGTGTCAAAAAGACTTTTTCACAACTCATGGCGGCCAAAATAGCTACAAAAAACTTATTTTTTATTTTTTTTCATTAGATTTATCACCCAAATTCTCGATTATTTTAACCTTCCATCGCGCTAGCAGTCGTACCTTGAAAAGCTGCCCGAGCAGTCTACTAGGCGTGTGTAACTCTTTACGGAACCGGCTCACTGATCCGAATCACTGAAGTGATGCAAAAGATTGGTTCAGTAACAATGTTTCAAACGCATCATTTGGATCTGAAACATTACGTTGCTCTGTGCTCATTTCGCGCGACGCGTCGCTCTCGTGGCTCTCGAGGCGACGGCAGACTGAGCCGCAAGCGAGAGAGACAGACTGAGACACTGAGTAACTTAACTATTGACTCGCGATTGGCGAGTGAGCGGGCGAAATAATTACAATCTATACAAGTCATAAAGAGATAACAAATGAGAAGCGTATCACTCAACTCGTACAGATTTTCGCTGTCGTTATTCATGTGCGTAAAAATGACCACTGAGGCGCTTACGCATCAAATACTATACAGTCGTTTTTAATATACATAGGCTGCACTAAAAGTATCGGGAATGGAATATTTCCCCTGTTCCTGTCATATTAAAATCTTTTTAATTGAAAAGTCCTTGGTTTTAAAAATCGAATACCATTTATTTATTTAAAAAAAGATTCTCGGTCTTGTCACAAGGTTTTGTCAAACTTGTTTAGTCGTTGAGAAAATGGAATTGACTCGAGAAAATTCAAGAGCGATGATTTATTATGACTTTCGAAGTGGTTTAATACAAAAACAGTATGTTGACCGGATGATTTCTGCATTTGGTGATGAAGCCCCATCCAAAACCACAATATATCGATGATTTGCTGAATTTCAACGTAGACGTGTCAAGCTCAGTGATGATCCCCGTCAAGGTCGTTCAAAAACTGCAGTCACCCAAGAAAACGTTGATGCTGTGCGTAAGCTGATTGAGGAAGATCGACATGTGACATACCGCGAAATTCAGGCAACTTTAGACATTGGCATGAGTTAAATACAAATAATCTTGCATGAACAATTAGGTGTAAAAAAGTTGTTTTCCCGATGGATACCGCATTCGCTCTGTGAAGAGCAAAAAGCGGCTCGCGTTACTTGGTGCGTCAGAACTCTCGAAAGATTCCACGCAGGATCCTCAAATGCTGTATACAACATCGTATCAGGTGACGAATCCTGGATATACTCGTACGAACCCGAAACAAAAAACCAGTCACGAGTTTGGGTGTTCGAAAATGAGTTAAAGCCAACAAAAATTGTTCGTTCACGGAGTGTTGCAAAAAAAATGGTGGCCACGTTTGTCTCCAAAACCGGCCATGTTACGACTATTCATCTTGAGGGACAAAGAACGGTTAATGCAGAATGGTATGCTAGCATTTGTTTGCCACAGGTCGTTTCTGAACTCCGTAAAGAGAACTGCAACCGCCGCATCATCCTCCATCACGACAATGCGAGTTCTCACACCGCATACAGAACAAAAGAGTTTTTAGAGCAAGAAAACATAGAATTATTAGACCATCCGCCGTATAGCCCCGACCTAAGCCCTAATGATTTCTTTACTTTTCATAAAATAAAGAATAAATTGCGTGGACAGAGATTTTCATCACCTGAAGAAGCTGTGGACGCCTACAAAACGGCCATTTTGGAGACCCCAACTTCCGAATGGAATGGTTGCTTCAATGATTGGTTCCATCGTATGGAAAAATGTGTCAAATTTCGCGGAGAATACTTCGAAAAGCAATAAATACATTTTTAAATAATAATGTTGTGTCACTTCCTTGATTCCCGAAATTTAGCCATAAATTAAGGACTAGCCGCCAGTCCTGAGACTGGCTAAAGTATGAAGGAGGATCGATTTTATATACAATCGTATTACATCTCTAGTAGACACGCCAAAAGTGTAAGCTGTCACCCGTGCTAGCTATCATGATATAACGCAAAGACCATAGTTTTTGTTACCTTGTTTAATTGTTAAGTGGTTTTGTTAATTTGTTGAGGTTTCTTCACTGTTTTAAAATGGAACCAGCGCCGTCTACCTCGCGTCTATTCAAGGAGTTTGTTTCTCCGCGGAAGAAAAGAAATTTGTCACAC